TTTGTCAGGGTTCAAATGTATTGCTTCTCCTTAGCGGCTTGTTTATTTCTTGCCTTAATTGTGTCTGTAAGAGAGACCAAAACGTTCTCAAGTTAGTGACTTAATACTCCGCAAATTGTAAATTTGTGGCAAAAGAAACCAGGAAAGTGCTCAAATATTGGTGCAGACTCCGTGGAACCTAATGAGAGCGCAAATTAATTTAATCAGTCTTTGAGGAGACTCATTCATATCGGCCAAGTAGCGCTGGTTATCTTCAATACTTTTCGTTGAAACACTTCTCAGCCATCAATATCGTTGTGTGTTAATTTTGAATTGTTTTATTGTTAACAACAAAGGTGGCAACGGAAAAAGAAAGTGGTATTTCATGATTATCTGATAATTAAATTAGTTCTTGTTCATCGGTGATAAGAAGATTTGCAATTTTAGTCAAACAACATCGTTTCTGTTCCGTGTCTTCATCACTACATCAGATATTTAACTTTCTTGCATTTATCTCCAAAAAACAAGCACATCTTCCGTGTGTTTTGGAGAAAACAAGGGTTTCATATTACTTGCCTTTGCGAGGAAAACAAAAGTATCAAGATACAAAGTTGGCTACCGTACCAGAGCTACCAAATGCGCTCTGCACTATCTGAGATTGTCTGACTAGTGTTTTTTAAATAATTGAATAAAAAAGACTGGGCGTATTTATTTGCAACATGCGTGTGCAGTTTTCCTGTTTCGTCCGAACACAGAGTTTCATATGACCTCCAGATCTCTGGGGTATACATCATTGCACTTATTAAAAGAGTTGCCATAGCGAAATGAAATCATGATTTTAATTCGTGCGCTGACATTTTTGTCCGAGAATGCCACGAAACAAGCTAATCAAGCAATGAAAAAGCTCGACAAAAACATGATAGCAGTTATATCATCAGAAGTTGACCAGAGGCACGGAAAAAATACAACTACTGCTTCTAGTAGGTCTCAATTACCCGGGAGGTTTGAAAATATGCAAGTTGTTTTTACATTTTCAGTATGATGAAACGAAGATCACCTGATAGTTTTAAACGGAATCCACTTTCAAAATTCCGAGGATTAAAGCTTTATAAGACGTACCCTACGCGAAACATTTTGCTCAGAAATTTGTTAATGAGCAAGGGTCCTACGCGACCCTATATAATGACATTACCCCTGATACTTTTGTTTTTCACGTGTTCAGTTGTTAATGTATCGGTTTATTACAGCTTAAAATTGAGTCTTTTATAATGGAGTCAAGTTTGAACAGTAGCATTGCTTTTGTATTAAAACCTGCATGCAATGCATTCAATTTGCATGAACGCGTCTACCATAACAGAGTTTTCGGACTACCAAAGTAACAAAATTGTCATCAAAGCTGTATTTTGCCTTTGCACTTCTCATCATCAGGTACGTAAAAAACAGCTTCGATTTGCTAAATCGGGTATTCATGACTGGGGTCTGTTCGCCATGGAGTCCATTGCAGCTGATGAGATGGTGACGGAGTACGTTGGAGAGGTGATCAGACAGCCCATAGCTGACATCCGGGAGCGTAGATACGAGGAGATGGGAATTGGCTCAAGTTACCTTTTCCGTGTGGATCAGGACACAATTATTGATGCTACCACTAAAGGAAACCTGGCGCGCTTCATTAATCATTGTTGTGATGTAAGTCACATCAAATTCCTTTACTCAGTTGTGCGATTGGAGAGGGAGTCAACCAATCTCTATTTGTGGTCTGTCAAAAACCCTACTAACGTTACTTTGGGCGGGTTCCTGTCTTAAACATCGGAAAGGGCTGGGAATTAATTTGGCCAATTTGAATGAAATATTTCCCTAATTCCTTAGCACATATTTACTGCTGATACAGTGTCTCTGGTCGCCTCTTTGTTGTGACAGATTTCGGTTTCTTGGATTGACTGCTTCTTGCGAAGCCAAACTCTGAATACTGGAACCAATCAACAAGTCGTATGCACTCATGTTTGTAAGCAGTTCCGGAAATGCTTATTAACGAGCTTGAAGGTGCCCTATTGACGTAATCAAATTAGATTGGAAAACGAGTACGAGATTGAGTACGAATACGATTTTCGAATTCCAAACCAGTGAGTCTCCAGAGCCCTCGCTCTTCATGTTAGTTTTAGGAAGAGAGGGTAGCTTATATGATGAGTTGGGTATGTGACGTGATAACGTGAAGCCTGCAAACAAGAATTGAAAAGTCGTACTCGTACTCGATCTTGTACTCGTGTTCAAATCTAAATTCCCGTAATAACAGCATCCTAAGAACATCTTGTAGTTTGTTCCACTGGTGAAGTAGAGTCACTCCATCAATAGATTCCATGTCTGGTGTAAAGTGCATTACTTTAAGAAATACAATTTGAATACTATTTGCATTTTTTCTGCACTTTGTCTCTGAATTCTTTTTCTTTTTCTTTTCTTTTTCTTCAGCCTAACTGCTACGCCAAGATAGTCACATTAGAGAACGCCAAGAAAATAGTCATCTATTCCAAGAGAGATATTGGAGTCAACGAAGAAATCACTTACGACTATAAATTCCCCATCGAAGACGAGAAAATCCCTTGTTTATGTGGTGTGCCTCAGTGTCGGGGCACTTTGAACTAGCGTTTCAACTTTACATACTGTCTATATTTATATTTATGTAGTATGAATTTTGTACAAAGGACGAAGTCTTGTTTAGCGTATTTTGAAGAGAGAAAAATGTTATGGCTTTAGTAGGCGCGTTAATCCTTACGTAACAATCGGAATGTGTCCCTCCCTCACATTTTAAATTATTCAACAAGGATCGCAAACGTTTCCGGGACCTATCAGTTCGGTCTTGATGTGATTTCTGTAGGTGTTCGTAGATTGACTACAGCACCTGAAGCTTTTATTGCACTGAGCAGAAGTTGTGTTGCCCCTTCCATTGGTCTTCAGTTGTTTTCCACTCCCGCATACTACTCTGGCTCTTGGCAAAACAGTGTTGTATTTCATCTCGTTATGCAAAGAGACATTTTGTCTCGCCTTTTGTCAAAGAGTGAATTAAAGTAATTTCTGTACTAAATATACAGTTAAGTAAAAAACTTTCTTTAGACTTCTCATCAAAATTTAATTACTGCCCATTCTCTTTTGACATGCTGCTTGTATTTACCCGTAAATAACACGTCCTTGTTATCCTCTAGCGTGGGCAACTGTGCCATGAACCACACAGTATGGATGAGGTTTTACTGATAGCTGAGTATTACACAACTGAAAAATTTGAACTGATACCCGGGAAATCGCTGTAAAACTAACGGATAGCTGAGATCTGGGCGCTTTTTCCACCCTTCTGAGATTGATCCTTCCTGCCCCCACCCCACTAGAACCTCGCAACTGAACCGCTATTTTGCTCGTTGAAGCCAATGCATCAGTGTTTTGTGTATCCACACGGGGGATACACATATCACTAGGGGTGTTTTCCGTTATGCTAAAGCGACCGGTAAGAGACCATTGGAGATAGCCGAGGAAAATGGAAGGACATTTTCCGATAAAACCGGACCAATCGAGAGGAATGGCTCTAACCATTCTTTATTCCTTTTCCGAATTCCCTAGATAACTGAAGAGAAGTAGGGTAATGAACCGGTTTGTCAAAAAGAACGGCAAATTTCGCTCGGAGTATTCCGCCCGGAATAAGTGGACCACCTCCAGAGGTGATCACGAATATCCCGGTCGGAAGAAACCGAAACGTATCTATCCATTTGGCTTCCGACCGAAATTTCCGGAATCTTTGGTAAGATGGAAGCACCCTGGTTATCATTCGATGCATTTTTGTTCTTCCTTTTCATTGGCCGAGAGCCAACCAAATGACCTGCAAATAACTGCCTACAAATAATGGTCTGCTGATGCGTAGTACGGTTGCTGCAAATAATATTCTGCTCATGCGTAATTGTAACCATGATCTCTCTTAAATAAGTAAATTTGGTGATCGAATGACAAAACAATTATTGAACTCGGTTATCGCAAAATATCGTGATTTTTCATTGTCTCGCAGAGCAATTATTTGCCTCAGCCTTCGGTTTCGGCAAATAATTGATCTGCTCTGCACTGACAAATCACGATATTTTGCTCGACCTCGTCCAATAATTGTTATTTTTTTGAGTTATTTTTTTGTAAAAGAAAATACCTCTTAGTCGGCGCGTTGAGTATGTTAAGGGTCAATGGATGAGTGAGAGATGTATGTATGTCACACCAATCAGATTGGACCTACTACAAACAGCCAATCAAATTTCTTGTTGTAAAGGTAAATGGTACGTGAGAAGATTTGATCCCGATAGAGTTCAGAACGGCCATATTTATTCTTCT